TGGCAGTCAAAAGTTTTCCACTTCTGCGCACGGAACCATCCTCCGCACCATACACGCCACAAGAAAATCCGACGGAGAGGGCAAACCGCAACATAAAGAGAATGCTTGCACAGTTTACCGGTAAAGAACAGCGAAATTGGGACGACTTACTACCCGAAATGAGACTAGCGCTTAATACCTGTGTTTGCGAAGCCACCGGCTACAGCCCTGCCTTCTTAGTGCAAGGACGCGAGCCGCGAGCACCAAAAGCCCTCTACGACGAACAAACTTTCGGTACAGGCCATACGATGACGACACCAGAGGCGAAGGCAACGAAAATGCGAGAGATATTTGAGATGGTAAGGCGAAATCAGCAGACAGCGTCGATCGAGCAAGCGCGTCATTACAACTTGCGCAGGAGGAAATGGTGGCCAGTGGTAGGTGACCGAGTGCTGGTGAAGGAGCATCACCTATCGAAGGCGACGGAAAACTTCGCGGCAAAACTTGCACCGAAGTGTGCAGGGCCGTACCGAGTGATGAACTTCGTTTCGCCAGTAATCGTCGAATTAGACAAGGTACACAACGGTAAGAGGAGAACAGCACATCTGAGTGAGCTGAAGCCATTTTACGGCGATGAAGAGGCCGACGCGGCAGAGTCACCAAAAATCATTCCCCGGCATGCACCTGAGCCTAATTCGACGCAAGGCGAAGAATAGGTAAATTTCGGTCATAGACAGAAATGTGATAACTCGGCAAATGCCAAATAGGGGAGCGATTGCCGTGAAAAGGAGACCCTAAGGGGAGAGAAGAAGAAGAGAAAATATAAGAGAAAAGAGGGAAAAAGAAGAGAGAGTTTAAAAGAAACAAGAAGAAAAAGCAGTTTAAAAGAAAGAAGAAGAAGCAGTTTAAAGGTAAGTAGAAGAAGGAGTTTAGAAGAAAAACAAAGGGAGAATGAGAAGAAGAAGAAGAACGAGGTTGTAGCGCGAGAATACTATGAAAAAAGGAAATAATTCATGCAAAGAGAAATAAACAAACAAAAATTGAATAGCATTAATATAAAAAACAAACATAATAAGGCAATATAATAATTAATATGTATAAAAACTATTAATAAGCAATAATGTCAGCAAATACAATAATAATAATAAATATAATAATAATAATTAATATCGTAAAACGGATACATCATTTCCGAGCTGGCAACACTATTCCGATTTTGACATATCGATCCAAGAATGATAGAATACAAGATTGCGCCGTCCTGGGCGTTGACATTTGCGGCGAAAAGAAGAACGAGTTGAAACTGCCAAAGCAGTTCACTTTACAGCGCAAAACGTGTTTTAATTTTGCTAAATGCGAAAATCTTGCATTTTTCACATAATCTCTTAGAGAACAGTGAACATTTTAGTGCACTCCATTGCTTTGCAATTAAGGCTGCTGCAGAAAATTGCAGCAGCATCTCCGCGGGATTGATTAGTTAACTTGCTAATGGAGGCTGCGTGGAGCAGAAACAAAATCATTATGAGGAAATGCTGTTAATATAATAATAGAGAAACATTTCGGGAACGGCATTGCCGTGCCCTATGTACACAAAATGCAGCGATTCGTCCCAGCGCTACACTTGCACTTACGCTTCTTGCATCTTGGACGCTTTCGCAATTTAACACACAGCACTTCATTGTATTAGTTTTTACGCAGTCTTCAACTCAAAAATCACTCACAAATTGCAAATTAACACAATTTAAACTGATTTTTTACTTATAATTCAAATTTCTCTTTCGCTGATTTGTAAACAGAGGTTTATTTACAAGTTACCACAACTGTCAAAATCGGCAAAACCAAAGTAGCGGTACCACTGACGGCGCCACCTTTGTTCGCTGCACCGTGATATCGATCCCTGCAAAAAAATCCCCCTTTTGGGAGAGTGGGCAACATTGCAACACAACAGCTGAATAAAACAATAACAAACTAAAATATTATAAACCAAAAAATAACAAAATGCAAATAATTTGGAAATATACAGTTTGCCGCGCAAAGGCTACTGTTTTCGAAATGAATAATATAAAAGGACATCGCAAAAGGACCCGCTACTCAAAAAGTACCTGCAGCGATGGATACATGGGCAACTGGCGAACTGTTCAAGGCGATGGGCGTGAAGGACGGCACTTTGAAAGTGCGTTTGCGCCGCCTGACTGAAGCGGAGATCAGGCAACATACTGACGTTGGTGAAGGAGAAAGCGGGGAAGACAACGCAAGTCAGGCCAGCACCGAAATATACGTGCGCGGAAGTACAGACTACGGTGCGAGTGATCTGGGGTGCTGGAGTCCTGCATTAGACTATTGCAGCGACTATACGTCAAGCAGTCCAGACAACAGGGTTGGTAGCAACACACCAACCAAATTAACAAGTGAAGGCAGCAACAGCGACGATGAGTGGTATCGAGGCGAAATAGCAAGAGCGCCCACGCCGATCGAGGTGTCATCAGACAGTGAAGATGAACCACGCCGAGGCAAATGACCATCGCGGAGGAAGATTGCCAACGCCCAGGTGAGGGTTATGTGGAATACGTTCGTCGCACCACCATGACGATGCGCAATTTTAATGGAGCCACGCAGAACACCGAAGCATGGCGACAACCACCTGCGCAGGCGTTGTGCGACGTAGCAGCGGCGACAATAACAACTGATAATAGAGATGACGAAGGCTGCGAAGATGATAGTGCGCTCACCCTGTCGGTGGAGGAAGACCGCGGGTTGGAGCAGTGGTTGGAGGAGTTAGCCAGCATTGAAGCAGAGCAGGCGGACCCAGCGGTTGTACGGGAGATCGTGGTTGCTGGAAGATGCAGCAAAACCAGCAACAATACCAGCCGACTGGCGAAATTTCAGCGGCACAGACCCGTTACCATGGGAATTGGTAAGGGTCATCGAAGAGCGGATTCAACGGCAACCAAGAAGACGCCAAACATTCAGGCATGCGGTGGGTACAGTTGGGTACCGTGTACGCATTACAGGCGCGGGGATGGTGACGATCACGCATCCAGAGGGAAGTAAAGGGGGGTGTGAAGACCCCAAGTCCCTACACTCAGGGACTTCACAATTGGCTGTCACATTTAATGAAATTGAATTGTTGAGTTTTTATATTATATATATATATATACATGTACGTAGAATTTTGAATTTTCCATAATTGTTATTATATATATATATATATTAATACATGTATGTAGACCTGAATTGTATTTATCTACTTATATATATACATATTAAATGAATTGTTGGATATATATACTTATATACGTGAAATTTACATCGTGCAAACGCAGATTGGAATGGCTAAGCAACGATTGTGAAGACTAAGTTGCTTAGTAGGTAGTTAAGGTATATGGTGTGACGTGAAAACGCTGCCAAAGCAATACGTTATATTGGTGTGACGTGAAAACGCTGCCAAGTAGTACTTAGATGGTGTGACGTGGAAACGCCGCCAAGGAAATACGTTATATTGGTGTGACGTGCAAACGCTGCCAGGTAAATAGCGAAATAAAGAAGCGTCACTATAAGAATCATTGGCGTATTTATTTTAACGTTTGGATAAGGGAACCCAACATCCGACTGAGCTACAGCCCAGCTATAGACCGGATGAACCTGGTTCGTTACAATTGGCGCCCAACGTGGGCTCTTATAAATAAAGGAAGCAGTAAGGGCCAAGGAGGGGAACTCACAGATAACAAAAGTGAAGTGAAGTGAAGTGATTTGGAAAACTACCAAGCAAGAGTGCAAAGACACCTTTAAAGTGATAGAGACACAGGGTAAAGCCCAGAAATTAAGAGCTGTGAAAGTAATCAAACATTCCTTACCAATAAGAGGGGAACGTGAAACAAAAGAACATAAACATAAAAAAAAAAATAAAATAAAAATAAAAAAATGGTGAAAAAAAGTGGGTGTAATACTTAAATAAAGACTAGCTTGTGACCTATACGACGGAGTTCGGCCTTGACAATTCGGGAACCGTCGAGGAGCTGCGTAAACGCCTCTCTACATTTGTACAAGAGGAAGGGGAGACTGAGAACCATCGCGATCGGGTCACTGATTTAGCGCTTAAGCATACGAGGTCTACAAGCGCGGGGAACGCACCAACACCGAAGAGACCCGAAGTGCTACTACTACCGCCTACACAACAACCCATCAACGACGACAGCACAAGAGGAACGCCGAACGTGCCCATGTATCCAGTATACGTCGACTCACAATGATCAGCCCCGACTATCATGGACCGCGTACGCAAATGGGGCGTCAAATACGATGGCGGCAAGGACCCGCTGGGTTTCATCGAACGCGTCGAAGAATTAGCCGACGGGTACGAGATAGAAAGAGACGCACTTCCACGAGCATTCTTCTTCTTCTTCTTTTTTGGCGCTGTAACCGCCTAAGCGATTTTGGCCGAGTTCAGCAAAGCACGCCAGTCGTTTCTCCTCTGTGCCAACTGACGCCAATTGGAAACGCCAAGTGAAGCCAAGTCCTTCTCCACCTGATCTTTCCATCGCAGTGGGGGCCTCCCTCTTCCTCTGCTACCACCAGCGGGTTCCGAGTTGAATACTTTCAGAGCTGGAGCGTCGGTGTCCATTCGAACGACATGACCAAGCCAGCGGAGCCGCTGTATTTTAATTCGCTGCACTATGTCCATATCGTTGTAAAGCTCATACAGCTCATCGTTCCATCGTCTGCGGTACTCGCCGTCGCCAACGCGTAAAGGACCGTAAATCTTCCGCAAAATCTTTCTCTCAAACACCCCAAGAGCCGCCTCATCGGATGTTGTCATTGTCCATGCTTCTGCGCCATATACCAGCACGGGCATGATGAGTGACTTATAGAGCGTGGTTTTCGTACGTCGAGAGAGGACTTTACTCCTGAATTGCCTACTCAGTCCAAAGTAGCACTTGTTGGCAAGAGTGATTCTACGTTGGATTTCAATGCTGACATTATTATCGGTGTTAATGCTGGTTCCCAAGTAAACGAAATTCTCCACTTTCTCGAAATTGTAACTGTCAACAGTGACGTGGGTGCCAAGGCGGGAATGTGCTGACTGTTTGTTTGATGACAGGAGATACTTCGTCTTGTCCTCGTTTACCACCAGACCCATGCGCTTTGCTTCCCTATCCAACTTGGAAAAGGCAGAACAGACTTCGCGGTTTTTGTTACCGATGATGTCGATGTCATCGGCATAAGCCAGCAATTGCACGCTCTTGTAGTAAATTGTTCCTGAGCGGTTCAGTTCTGCAGCTCTTATTATCTTCTCCAACATCAGATTAAAGAAGTCACATGAAAGGGAATCGCCCTGTCTGAAACCCCGTTTTGTGGTGAACGGCTCGGAGAGGTCTTTTCCAATTCTGACGGAGCTGGTGGTATTGCTCAACGTCATTTTACACAGCCGTATGAGTTTTGAGGGGATGCCAAATTCAGACATTACCCGAGTTATTTAAGGATAGAGCCCTCGTCTGGTTACGAAACAATCACGGCCACTGGAGAGACTGGGAGACGTGTAAGCGAAATTTCCTGAAGTTCTTCTTGAATTCCCGGTATTTCGAAAGACTCGATGATGAGATACGGCAGCGTGTTCAACGGCCCAGAGAGGCATTTACTAGCGCTACAAGGGCTAATGCGTCATTCTGACTATACGGAGGCACAAAAGCTGCGGCGCATCTATAAGAACAGCCGAAGCGAATACCAGCTGTACATTAAACAAACCGAGTTCAACACTCTTGGAGAGTTG